TTTCCTTGATCACTGAAGGACTTTAAATGATGGCATCATGTTCATCAATGCTTCGGTACCGAATGCCTCTTCTTGAATAATACATTTTGCATCCAATGTAGAGAATAGATAAAACTCCCAGTGTTAACACTATACCACCAACAAAGCTGCCAATATCAAACTTTGATCCTTTGCCTTTGGCGGGATGAGTAGTTGCTGAAACCGTGACAGATGTCAGTAAACTACTGTGGGCTGTGGTTGTAGTGGATGCTGATGTCTGGGTAGAGTTTGGGGAAGCACTTGCTTTGGGTGTAGACTTTGAGGCAGTGGGAGTCACATTTGGTGAGACTCCCGGGGTTGATATTTTAACAACAGTTGTAGGTTTCACAGTGACAGCTATGGTAGTTTTTGGCAGTACTGAAGGCTTCACGGTGCTGTTAATTTCATGGGTCTGGTTGGAAACCACATGCATGGTAGTATTCTCTGCCATGGTAGCATTGGAGGTCAGCAGAGGCACAGAGTGGTTTCCACTTGGAGAGCCCTGAGCGTCGGTCCTGTTCGTGGCGGTCCCTGGCAGCGCCAGCACCTGCCTTGAGACCTATTCTTACTCTCACATTTGCATGTACCTGATCCGTATACAATTCAAGGTGGTTTTAGAAAACAGATCCAGAGAAAGGACAGCTGGGCAAAAAGCTGCTCCTTGTACCTGATCTGTCCTGGTCGATTGGTTTATTTTAGTGGCGTTAGTAAGGTGAGTTAATGGGAGCTCATTCATGGGTAATTTCAGTTCATGGGAGCAGAAATCAGAACAGGGCTGAAGTGTGTGGCTCTTGCAGGGCATTAGTGTAGAGTCCTGCTGTGTTCTCTCCTCTTCCCTACCCACTCTACAGTCTTCCTCCATGCTTCCTCAGCAAATAGGGTTCTTGAAACTTTTGTTTGCCAACATTATGGATGTTCTTCGATGGTTCTGAGTAACGTTTTCTCTTCTGTTGACTTGTATTCTACTTCTAGCTGTCTCAGTGAGGCAGGTGATTGCCTAATGTGATGATGGGTAAGACTCTTACCCCTTGACCCACAGAGCCTCTGAAATAGGAGTGAAGAGCAAGACCATTTGTCATGAAGCTTGTCTGTGGATGGACAGAGTTCTTAACAGGAGCATATGAGAAGAGCCAGTCAGAACAAGACATCTTTACTTTATAATCCAATTCATTCACACATACACATATTGAAATTCTTAACTGACAGAATAGCATGAAGGGTAAGAGCTCTGAGATCCAGATGTCAGAGTCGAATCTTGATTACCTTGAGCAGTGACACCTCTCTCTCTCCCCCCTCTCCTTTCCCCTTTCCCTGTTCCCTGCTCCTCTCTCTGAGCCTCACTTTCCCTATCTATAGAAAGGAGATGGTAATCATTCCCACTTGATAGAGTTGCTGAGAAGAGTGTGAGAAGTACATAAAAGAGCTTAGTGTAGTATGGCAAACATTTTACAAATGTTAGTATTTTTTACATGTAGCCCATCTATAAGCAAACAAGACAGATATAGCGCTTGTCTTTGTAGAATTTGTAGTTTACCAAGGAAATTATTGTAATGAATGCTCACATAGACTAGTATTGGTGGTACACAGGCAATGTATAGAACACATTTTAAAGAGGAGGCATTTATTAATTGGACAAATATTCATTGAGTATCTACCAGGCATGCTACATTGTTATTAGTACTAGATATGCTGTTTTGGGCAAATAGTCAACTCTGCACTCTTAGAGCCCGTGTTATAGCTAGAATATAGACACACACACTAAAGATGGTGAGATGAGGAGGAAGGGTCTAGGAAGACATCACTGGGGAGGTGATTTTTGAGCAAAGAACTGAATAAAGTTTACCATCTAGGGGAAGGGCATTTCATGTAGAAGGAAGGGTAAAGGCTACAGTGGCTAGGCAGGAGTTCTCTCAGCAGGCTGGAGGAGCAGCAAGGTGGCTGGAAAGTGAGATGAATACTGTGGCTCATCTAAGTTCTTCAACTTAGCATGGACATGTCTTGATACTTCCTGTGGTCACTTTGGGCAGACCCATGCCTGTTTTGAAGTAGCCTGATTTGAGGAGACCCTTGAGGGACCATTGAGTCTGAACATGACTGTCATCTACTGACTCTTGAGACTGCATTGCTCTTGCATTTCTCCTCACTAGGATAGGATGAGTCACAGAGGTCCTGATAGACTTCAAACCAGTGTGCTCTGTCCCCACCACCACTGAGCTGCTCTGTTAGTCATCCTTTCACACTGCTTCTGCTTTCTGACCTCTTTCTCCAGGATTAAAATAGCCCAGCATGCAGTACCCAGTGCCCAGTTGTTTAGCGACAGGAACTATGCAGAGTGACTCACCACACATGGGGTGAGCTGGGCCAGGCTAGTTGATTAGTTATGTCTAGGGCAGGCAGCTTCTAAGGATAAGAAACCTGCAAAATCATTGATTCCAAAACATTATCCTTTATGGAAATGGGAGGAAGACATGTGACAGGTGAATCTTGATATTTCAGAATTCTGTGATTTATATTTTTTCCACAGTGCTTTTAACTTCCCCAAAATGAGATGAGTTCTAACTCCATTAAGGGCTTCCTTCTCATTAGTACTTCTTGAGATTGTTAGCTAGCAGAGGACCATTGATCGGTGATTACAGTGTTTGTCTTTGGTTTTGTAACTGTCCTGCATCAAGAACAATCTATGGTAATGTTTCCAGTTTAAAATGAATGAATTCATTACACATATAGCAGGCAAAAGTAAGTGACTAAGAATCAGTACATACAGAGAAGCAGCAGATAGTGAAACAGCATCAAATCAGGCTCTTTTAACTTTTCAGTGGACATGACTGGAGTAGCTCTTCAATTGAGATAACAAAAAAGGTAACATCATTAAATCTGGCACTCAAACATCTAGTGGAAACCACTGATCTGGCACTTAATCATCTGGTGGAAATGACTGGGGAAACACCTTTGAAACAGTAATTCTGGAGTTCTCGATTGTGAGAGTCCTGAGAGCAGTGACTTCTCTCCAGATGAGGTTTTTGGGGTTTTGGTCCATGCAGTAATTAACAACAGTAATCCCTGTTGGAAGTTGTTTACCTTGTAGCTGTTCTCAAGGGCATGTTCTACTCAGTCCACACACCTCTCTTCTCAAGAGTAGTGTATTTTTACCCTCGGACTGTTTGGCTGTCCTCACTTCTGTTAGACACAGAGCTGGGGACCAGCCTGTCTCTAGATACTGGGCTTTGGAGGGCACTTTGAGGCAAGCATGCTTAGGCCCTTTAGCAAGAATGCTCACTCTGTCAACATGTAACCAAACACTGACTCCCTTCTTCCAGAATACCACCAATGAACCAAAGTATGATTTCACTAAAGCCCAACTTGGGGGAACCAGGGAGTTATTGGGCTTCCTTACAGAGCATGGATGAGGACTTACTTCTAGGAGTGTGGGGGATCTTTAAAGCAGCTCCTCTACTGGAAAGTTTCACCCCAGCATAGATGATGACTCCCCCATAGCTGCATGGATAGAGTGACATCTTCAGTTAATGTTTTACAATCTGCTTACTATGGCATCTCTTGACACCATAAGGCCATAAGCATGTATGCTTCAAGGTACAGAAAGGAGCTGCTGGAGTCTTGGGTTAGGGGGCCAATGACTCTCTCTAACCCTCCTTCTATGAGGGAACATTAACAGTTGATAAGCTTGATCTCAGGAGTTTCTTGTGTGTAGTCACAGCCAGTGAAGATGACAGCTGTTATGCTGGGAGAATAGCTTTATACGACAAGTCCAAAATAAGAAGGGAAGTTGATTCTAGAACTGGCTTCTCAATAAGCCTAAACAAACTACTAATATATTTTATATCACAGCAACAATGTTTTAAACATCTTATATGTCATTTGTGTACTGAAGCCTGTAAGTCAATTCTAAAGTTGGTGGCACAACTGTTTAATTTGCTCATGACTCTAGGGGTCATTAGATTGTGTTGGGCATGGTTGGATTCAGTTGGCAGTTCTTTTTATTGCCTCTAGGTCCCTCATGAGACTGAAGTCATCTGGTCATATGACAGGGGAAGTTATGGTGGCTTCTGTCACATGCCTAATTTTTGGCATTGCCTTTGGCTGGCCTTCCTCATGGTCTTTCATGTCAAAGGGCATAGCTTGGGCATCTTCAAAGCATTCATTTTCAATTACTGCTTCCCCTTTCTCTTTGGGGTGGCTCTTCTCTTGGCCTCAGGAAGTCCTCATCTTTCAATAATATATTGATCGACAATTAAATACTCAGGTAGGGGCGTGTGTGGTGTGTCTCTGTAGCTTTTATGTCTCTATGGACTCCCAGCTTCACCTTCTGGAGCCAGGTCTATGCTTTGTATGCTTCATGGACTATAGTGCAGACTCTGTCACCAGGCTTGGGAGGTCATACTTTGGACTCATTTTCTTCCTATGGAGGAATCACTGCCTCCCCCACATTTATTTCAGCTATTTCAGGGAGTAAGGGATGGCCTGAGGACACCCTAGGACTGTGTGATTACCATGTTTGTGTGATTCTATGACGACTCTCTGAAGCCATCCTTTTACTTCAGACTTTTTTTTTTGTATTCTTAATTTTTACCTGTATCTACATAAGCATAAACGTATCAGGCAACATTTAAAAATAGGAAAGTCTAGATTTCCAATTGGTTGGGCATGCTAGTCAGGATCCTCCTTTGACTGCTGTGGTAACAATTCTCTTATCTACTTCAGGGCTGACTGGGAGTTCCCTCTTTTTAGTCTAGCTAAAGTTTTGGATTTTTTCCCAAAATTCTACTATAGTTTGATTTCTAAAAATTTTCCTCTTTTATTTTCTCTCTAATATTTATTAGTTACTGACTTTGATCTGTCACCAGACTTAGTTTGTTCCTGCTTGAAGCATACAGTTGGGCTGCTTACTCTTTTTAAGCATGTGTTTATAGTGGTAAACCTCCCTTATAGTACTGCCTTGCAGAATCCCATAGGGTTTCATATGTGTGTTTCTATTTTTGTTTGCCTCAAGATGGCTTCTCATTTTCCTCTGGATTTCCTCCTTTACCTGTTGATTGTCCAGGGGCACTTCGGGATTGTTTTTATTTCTCTCTGTGGGCATTCCTAGACCTAGAGGCATTATGAAGTGAACCCCAAAGTAAAATGAAGGCAGGTCATGCTGATTATTTCTCCAGCGAAACTAGTTTTCTGTTTCCTCTGCCCTGAGAGAGAGAGAGTTTGTGAGCTCTCCATTGTTATGTCTGTCATTCACTGCTCCAACAGTTCATGTAGGGAACTCAGCCGTCATTTCCCCACTCCCTTTCTCCTTCGCATCCCTTCTGTCTCCTTCTCACCCCTCTTGGCTGTTCTCTTGGCAGCCACCCTTGGCTCCACTCACCACGCTGGTTTTATTTCTCTTGGATTTTTCCCCCTGAACATCTCTTACTGTACTCACACACAGGGGAGCTTTTGCAGTTGCCCTGCCTTTCCCAGTTGTTGTTGGTCATCTGCTCTGCCTGAGACCTGGAGACTGGAGTGTCATCTGCTACCTGAGCCATGACTGCTCTTT